ATGCTCCACAAGCTAATATCTGTTAACCAGTTTAATAAATAACAGTGATTACATGGACTTTATAAGATTATTTTAATGTTAAACTGTTACATTATGTTCTGCTCAGATCACATTGAGCTAAATTAGGTCAAATCTGCTGACTTGTTGTAAAATGAGACGTTTTCCTGTTTATCTTCTGTTAATAAATCCATAACACAAACAGCTTTTCTGACATTATTTAAAACATTAGATAGATTATATAAACTGTAAAATATTAATAATAATTGGATTAATGTTATTGTTAATAGTTTTAATGATTTCTACATCGTCAGTCTTTTTTTTCTGCTCTGTTGTCAACATGTACAGTAATGAAAAATCCAGACTCTTGCCCGTTTAGCGTTAGCCGTTAGCTTCTCCAGCCGATCACATGGTCACGTGGGTTTTGAGCACTCCAGCTGTTCTATAGGACCTCCTTGTCCAAACCACAACTGGGGAAGTCCCTCTTCTCAGTCATCGCTTCCTCTGTTTTCATTGTCTGTTTTAAAGCTCTTTAAAATACATTTTGAGATGTTTTATGAAATAGTTGCACCCACATACTTGCACAAACTAACATTGAAGAGTTGTACAAAAGAAGACTGATGTAAGAACTAGCAGAGGAAAGGTGGTATAATGTAACTTCAGCTGAGAAAGAAAAGAAAATTGTAAAACTGAGCAAAGAAAAACAAATGCTGGAGTAGGACAGATTAAAAGATGGATGGATAAATTTTAGTGTTTTCAGTGAAATATGAATAGAAATAATTGCTGCGCTCTTCTCTCATCTTTAATGTTTAATACGCTATTATTCATCTTCCTCTGTCTCCAGTGGTTCTCTGTCAGAGACAGATACTCAGGAGGCTTTCATATGTACACTCATTCAAAACACAGTAAAATAAAAGCTTTTTTTTTTTTTAAATTAGGAACAACCGTATCACTGTTTTTATTTTGTACTGTTATATCTCATCGAATATGATTATTTTCAGTCAGACAAAGTGTGACACTTGATTTGCTGTTGTGGGTCTTCAGTCCACCAGGACATGGTGATCCTGACAAATTATATCAAACACAAACTGGACTTTTTCCATTCGATTCTTGAAGAAGTTTTCATCCAAGGAGATTTCTCCAAGTTATTGTATGAGAAATATTCCAGTGGATTCCAATTGATAGCAAGACAGATATTTTGTATTTAAAATTTTCTAAACGGTGTTGTTCCTTCAGTCTTCTTGTGGTGTTGGCAAAAACAAAAGTGGCAACATGAGCAGAAGCCTCGGAGCCACAAGAATCTGAAAATCCTGAAACAAATTGATGTCTGCCTTTTTCTGTTTATTAGCTCTTTGCCTCAGGAAATAGACTTACTAATAGCATTTTAGGTGTTCTGAAAAGTGGCACTTCATAAAGAGAATTAAGCACTACCGTACAGAGACACCCCGTGTGAATCAATATTAAGTATTGCTATCATTAGCTCACAATGAATTATTGCCTGCAATTATATAGATTATGGCATTAATCACGTGTTTAATTGGTCTTTTGTAGGCTCGTTATTAATTCAGAACAGCAGGGAATAAAAGTATATTCTTTTATTTATTAATGCATCTCCCCCCCCTTAGCCCACTCTCAGTAGTTCATGTTAAAGATAAGAGGCCCGTCGACATGAGAAACAAAAAAGAAATGGACAGTGTTATAGTTATTGTGAATCGTTAACAACCTCCCTGTTTAAGCTCTCGGGAGCATAGTTGCAACAGACCCCTTATGTAGAGTTTAACTCAGAAATAAATGGTTCTTGGGGATTCAGTAGATCCACGTGTTTCTCAGGTGTATCAAACCTGGCTGAACTTTCCACTTTGAGCCATGGATTTTGCGCACCTTTATTTTTAAAAAGGCAAATGATATAAAAGGATGTAGTTCTGTTCCTCATGCTGAGCTGAAATTTCTGTTCCTGCAGGTTGTGTGGTTGGGCCAAAAAATGGAATTGCTTAATCTGGGACTTTGGGATCTTGTGCCATTTCAGAGCAGTTTTAACAGAGATTATAACCCTGCTGGAGCAATTTCTAAAATCAGGGAGTGCAGTTTTCATTTGAAGGGCAGAATAAATATTTAGGGAGTTGTCCTGATGCATCTCAGTAATCCAGGTAAAAAATCAAAAGGAAAAAAATTGTATAGGTCTTCTGAACGGGTTCTTCTTTAATGAAACGTTTCGTCTCTCCTCCAAGAGACTTCTTCAGTCTGAGAGTTTCAGGCAAAATTCAGGCTTTTAAGCCCTGACTCCATGTGACTGATACTCACATCACATGGCTATCGTTCACCCTAATTAACACCTATTGTTAACAGGGGGTGAAGTGATACTGGCAATGGCAGCGCTGTAGGATGGGGACAGCTGAAAACGGAGGCCTCCACCTCTGTTTAATGATGGACGGTCTTTCTTTACAAAAATGGCTTCTTTTACTCCTCTCTCAAACCAACGTTCCTCTCTATCAAGAATGAGAACATCCTCATCTCTGAAAGAGTGACCATCTGAAAGAGACTCCACCCCCTGTTAACAATAGGTGTTAATTAGGGTGAACGATAGCCATGTGATGTGAGTATCAGTCGCATGGAGTCAGGGCTTAAAAGCCTGAATTTTGCCTGAAACTCTCAGACTGAAGAAGTCTCTTGGAGGAGAGACGAAACGTTTCATT